CTGATGGCAATGGGGCTGGATGCGCCGCAGTCTCCAGCGTGTTCAGGCTTGCCCATCTGCATGCAAACTATACGAAAATAATCTTCAGTATAGGGGCTCTTGAAAGAAAAACCAACGCAAACACTCAGTGCCAGCCTGCGGGTATGTCCTTACTGCATCGCACAGCGCTGCGGAGAGCCCGCTCCCTACAGGAGGAAAGAACAAGGGGGAGCGTGGACTCGGCGTCGTACCCTCTGACAGCCCCGTGCATGGTCCTAAGGGCAAAAGCACCCATGAAGGCCATCGCCTGGCAGTCTGCTGCCATACTAACTCCACAAAACAGGAGTGTTAAATATGGGGCAAGTTCATCCCTCGCAATGTGCTAGCGGGGCTGTAGAAAATCATCCATGACTTACGTGAAGCTTTTACTCCTTGGCTCTGCTTTTAGCTCTAGGAGTCCAGGGGAAAACAGCGCATCAGTTGATGTACAATTTCCCTCGCCTCAAAGCAGCGCAGTAAAAATGGTGTGTCCCATATGACACCCCAGCTGCAAGGAGAGGCGCAGAGGTCTGGGGTATAACAGGGAAAAAGTGGACACTGGGATTGCCTGTAAGATATGGGGTCAACTGTGTAACAAACCTGGGGACAGCGGCATTCAGGTAGCATTTCCTAAATAAATTCTGTGGCAATTTGATGACAAGCCTGTGGCTAACAAGGCAGGAATATGTGCTTGCTGTGTCCCTCCCAAATTCTCCCTACTTGCAGCTTAGCTCAGTAATGAACAGCTTCGTTCTGTCCCCACTCCCATCGCCTTTCAAGCCCGGCAAAGCTTCATGTCTCCATGGCTCTGCTGCCCTTGAGAAGACAGAGTGTCTCATTACTGGTTATCATGGAACCTTATTTAATTTAAGTTATCTTTAAATGCCACTTGATCTACGGGGCTCATCCATAACTGTGTACCGCGTATCACACTCCTCGGGCTGTACCGCTTGCTCGTTATTAAACGCATGAAGTGGGAGAAAAAAAAAAAAAAAAAAAGAGGAGAAACGGTGTCGAGGAAAGAAAAAAAATCTCTGCCTCATTATTTTGGTTTGGCTTTGCGCAGTGTGTGCTCCTTCGTTAGTCAGAACGGGAAGATGTGGCGGCTGTGAGGGATGTGGTGGGACAGACAGGGCGGGGGTTCTGGGGAGGGGATCACATCTGCCCTGGGGAGTGCTGCTGCCACCTTTGCTCCTATCTCCATGCCCTTAAGGGGTGCACAGCAAAATTTGCTTTCACGTTTTGGTGATGCTGAAGCCCAATTACTTGAGAACCCACCTGCTGTTGCAGGATTGGGGGTAAATTGGACACTTGGCTTTTGCTGGTGTGAAGCTGCTCGTTGACTTGCTCAGCAAGACACAGAGACCAGGGGGCTTGCAAAACATTTGGTGGCCAAGGGTATTTTTCATATTGTGGCTTTTTAGGGGGTACAATTATAGCTGGGACCATATGGAGGAATCCTGTCAAATCACCACTGAAGATTATTTTTAGCACTTGAATGCCATGAGATTTGGTGATGGACCATGCGTGCCAATGCTACTTTCTTGTCAAACCCTCTTTTCCCCCCAGTTCCAGCTGCAGTCTTTGCAGCTCGTGTGCAGCAGTGTCGGGGCAGAGGAAGACAGATGCTGTGATCTCCCTGCACTGGTAAGACAAGAGGGACGGCTCTGCTAATTGACATGAATCTGGGGATGATGGAACAAGTCCATGGCTCTGCAGTGACACCACACATCACTTTGACAGACTCAAGAGGGAAACCTTTTTTTTTTTTTTTTTTTTTCCCTCCTCTTCTCTTGGGGATAACATCTGTGTGCTTCTTGGTGAAGTGAACAAAACTGTGTTTGCTTCAAAAGGAAAGCAAACTCCAAATCCCTGTGCAGTGCATGTCCCTCCTGTCATGAACCCAGCTGTGACAGCAGCCCTTGCAGTCCGGTGGCCTTGCTGCCACCTCAGCCCTGAGTCACAACATCCCCCTGCTCTTCCTTTCAAGTTTTCTTGTCAGCACAGAAAGGTGCTTTGTGGGGTGCATAAATACTTAGCAAGGAGAAAATTACCTTCCAGTGTGTGTGATACAAGTTTCGGGCAGGGCTGGGGCATAATTTTTTGTCTAAACTTGTTGTTTGACAGAAAAATAAAGCACTCAGTTGTTCACAAAAATCTCTTGTTGGAGTAGGGGAAATTTCTGCTTTTCTCCAACTGAATGTTGAAACACTGCGAATGTTACCTGAGATCCATCCCGTTCTTGCTATGTAGCTGCTCATGCCACTTTGACTTCTTTTCATTTCAGAGGGACGAGGAGACCTGCCCTAGCTTAGCTCCTGCCTGCTCTTGTACTTCTGGCCACCCGGGCTTGCCAGGACCTCCAGGGCCCCCTGTAAGTTCCCCTTTCCACATGTTCCTTGAAAGCAATATATTGCATGCACTGGCGTTGCTTCGTGTTGTTTGGGCATGCCAGGCGCGAGGATAACGCTCTGGGGCTCCATGAGGTTTTAGAATCATAGAATCACTTAGGTCAGAAAAGACCCTTAAGATCATTGAGTCCAACCATTAACCTGACGCTACCAAGCCCACCACTAAACCCTGTCTCTAAGCACCATGTCTACACGGCTGTTAAATCCCCCCAGGGATGGGGGCTCAACCACTTCCCTGGGCAGCCCCTTCCAGTGCTTGACAACCCTTTTGTGGAAGGAATTTTTCCAAATGTCCAATCTCAACCTCCCCTGGCGCAACTTGAGGCCATTTCCTCTCATCCTATCTCAGGGAGCTTTGATGTCCTCCTCGTGCCAGGGCAAGGCTGAGAGGTGTCCTTGAGGTTTCAGATGCTGATGAAGTGGGGAGACAGGGAGCTGGCAGCGCAATAGCTGCACCTGGGAACGGGCTGAGCAGTTCCTGGTGCCATGTTAATCCTGCCTTCCAGGAGAGGAAGGCAGGTCACCCGCAGTGCCTGCAGAGATTTCATGGATCAGAGGCTCTGAAACTCTTTATAAATGAAAAAAAAACCCTACCACAAACCCTTTCTATCTGGTTTCTGTCTTAAGTGGGAGCCTTATAAGTGACTGTGTGGGTGGGCAGCGTAAGGAGAAAGAGGAGACCGCCATTCTGTCTGTCCCCAAAGCTTGCTCTCTTTACGTTGAATGTGACCTGCAAGAAAACCCTGAGGGAAATGGGGGGGGGAAGCAATAGCAGCCGCTAAGTATGTCACATGCTCAGGGATATAGGGCAAGTGCAGTATTTTGCCCCATCCACTATGGATGCAGGAGAGTCACCATGGGTTTAAACTGCAGTCGGAAATATTCCAGTTAAACACTAGGAAGCAGCTATCAAGAAGTTTGCATTTTGGAAGTTTGGGGAAAAACATTTTATTTCCACAAGGCAGCTGAAACCTGACAACCTGTCCAGAGCACCCCATTTCCACCACTCCGGGTGCTTTTCTCCTGGAAAATAACCATTAAAAACCATTGGCCTCCTTGCTTAAGTGAAAAGGTTTCAGCTCACCCCTTGCATTACCATGGTTTAACTGTGAATTCAGTTCCATGCTTTGCAAGGAGCAGCGCCTTGTTCCAGAGTAATTACGTGCTCATTCCAGCGGAAGTTTAATTATACAGCACACTCCACTATCACAGTTTGCTTCAATATCCTAAGTGCATAATTACCAGCTTGCATTGCCCTGTGGTTTAAACATCTCTGCAGTACAACCCTTTAAAGACCGAGACTCTTTTAAGCATTAGAGAAACTACGGTTTTGACACATAACCTTATCCTCACACCACCAAACCCTTGGTAATTTGCTGCAGTTACAAGAGCGCTCGTTGCTATTTTTAAAATGCCAGCTGGCAAGACTCCGTCCCACCTTGTTTTTATCACTGTCCTTAATGAGTGTTTTTGACCAGGTCCAGCTGACTTCTGAAATGAGCTTCTGGGAGCTTCTGAAAGCACCTTTCCCAAAGCTCCCTGCCTGTACTTCTTAATCCAAATCCATTGTTTTTATAGAGTTAAGAATAGAAACTTTCAGATTAAGATGTCAAAAGTTCACACAATATTGGTTCGAGCCAGGAGATTGGTTTCTGCAGTTATGCAGATGCAGAGCTAAGCCAGGTCTCCCCAGAGCTGATTGCTCTCCCTGATTTCCACGTGTGTCTGTTCTTTCGGGATGATATTATAAAAACCAACAGAGTCCCAAAGGGTTGTAGACACAAGCACCTCTGCTTTTTCTTCTCAAATGTGTTTCCATGTTCATATGCGACCCCTTCTTCATTCACTGTCTCAGCATGGAGTTGCTGGAGGAGTTGGAGGGAGGAGGTTGAACAGGTTGGAAGTTCATCTCCTGCTGGTGGTGAGTGCAGGGCACCCACCGCCTGTCACAGAGGGGCTGTGCTGTCCTCTCTTCTCCCCTTTCCCACATTTGCTGGATGACTTGATTCATTTTCTTCTTGCCTCCATTTGCTCCCAGTTCTCTGGGGCAGGAAACATCTTTCACCGACTGTGCCCCCTAGACTCCTCGTTCCACTGCAATAAAGATTATGATATTCATAACAGCAGCTTTATGTCCTCCTGGCAGGGCAGCCCCGGGAGGAGGGGACCGCAAGGGGAGCAGGGGGAGCCAGGCCCCAAGGTGAGTCCTGACACCCAGCACTACTGTGGGTTTGTTTGCTTCGGGCTGTGTCGGGACTGCCTCACTGCACCAAGCAGAGCCCAAACAGAGCCTTAAGGACTGATGTATTGAGGAGGATGGGATCACTTCTTATTAATTAAATGCTCAATTGGGCTTTGGAAATCGAGATGATGAGGCTGATTGAGCTGAATTAATGCAATGTACGTGGTCAGCAACGTTCTCTGAAAGCAGCCTTGCTGGAAAATGGTCAGCCTTTGTGCGGTGCTTGTTCTGGCTGCCAAGCCCCCAAACCAGACAGAGCGGTACTGGTCTGGGGCAGAGCAGCATGAGGGGAAAGCAGAGCAAGAACCACACAAAGCCTTCAGGAGCAGCCCTGAGGTGAGCACAGGTCTGAATCCTCCAGCCCTGGGGACTGGAACAAGCCCTGGTGCAAGTGTTCACTGCCCCACTGGTCAACACAGGGCAGAGCCAGCCCAGCCCATTGGTCCCCTCCTTTGGGATAACATCTGGGAAAGCAGCATGGTTAGAGGGGAAGGATTTTGGGGAAGGAATGAGAATGGATGCAGACCTCAGCCGCTGGCCACCTTGAATAACGGGAATGACCTGCAGCTTGGGAAGGTGAATCATGCTTTGCAAGGCACCATCTGCAGCTTTGCTGTCTTCTCCCATGAAAGATGTACCAAATCCTTGGACCTAAAAGGCAAAGGCAGCTGAGGTCACTAGAGATCCCCTCACTGTCCTGACCTCATCTTGAATCCCATAGACAGTTCGTGCTGACCCAGGTCGTGCAGTGCAGCCCCCGCGGAGAGCAGGAACTGATTGCTTTCTTTCTTTATGTTTGATTTCATGTCTTTGGCTTTAGGGTGAACCAGGCCCACCTGGACAAGTAGGACCAGAGGGTCCTAGTGGCCAACAAGGGTCTCCAGGTTCCCAAGGAATCACAGTTCAGGGTCCTGTGGTATGTGATCTCTTCCACTGCCTTTTTTGTCACTTGCTCTTTTACACTCAATAAAGCCCCCAAAACGTGATCTATGCATTTACATCATCCTCCCTAACAGCTGGACAGCTGCACTGGAGAGACATGATGATCGTTTTTTTCATGCTGATGAGGCCCTGCTCTTAGTCATTCTGGCAAAAGACTGCTTTTGTCCAGACTCTCCCTCATGTGCCTGTAATGAAAACAGCCCACTGGAGTATTCAGGCATTTTTCTTCGCAATGATCATCGTGGCTTGGCAAGGAGCAGAGGCCGTTGCATGCATGTCTGGGGCGGCAGAATCCCCGTGCACATGCTGCGGCTGTAGAGCACCCTGTAGCACCACAGAGAGCAGGAGTGACCTGGGATGTGGATGTGGAGCAGCAGGATGCTGCTCGCCCTAAAGGATGCTGCTGCGTGCCTAACTGTGTGCTTCTGTTTTAATCCAAGGGACCACCAGGAATTAAAGGAGAGAAAGGAGACACTGGAAGTCCTGGCATGCAGGTAATGGTTGACACTGTTCCTTCAGGTGTCTCAAAGATTTGCCCATTTTTCCCAGTAACTACTTTAAGCAAGGCTGAAAAGCCAGAGAGTTGCTACAGCCGTCTGCTTGGAAACTGCCTTTCATTTGGGAGTGTCATCACTTTCCCGAGGGAAATTGAATCAGTTGGTGCAAGAAAGATAGACCTATTTGAAAGCTAGACATGATGGAATTAAAGGTGGGATGACGGTGATTGCTCTGTTCAAGGAATAACTGTTTCTTCTTCCATCTTTTGCTTATGCCCCCTGTTACAAGGTGAATTAGGGCAATGATAATCAGCTGCCAACTTTACCCAGCAATTCTGATTTACAGGGCATTCCCGGTGTGCAGGGAGCTCCGGGCAGGGATGGTCTTCAAGGTGCAAAGGTAAAATATCTCACCTCTTGGTTTTGATGGATGGGGACCTAAAATTCTGGTGTGCGCGTACCAGCAGAGACCTGAAACACCCAGCTCTCCTCTAATGCACTCAGTGCATAAGTGGATGGTCTTTTCACAAGTCCAGAGGGATTGGAGGAAAAAAAAAAGGGGGTCATCTCAGGCTTGGCCAAATTTGACCACGTGCTGCCCTTCTTGCCTGCTTGGCAGATGCATTTTTTAGCCTTTCCTAGCAAGCTCCTGTTAAAAGCAGCACATGGAAAAATGACCTCACTGCTTACCAAGTCTCTTTGAATCTTTTTGTTAATAAATGACCGGCTTTGGCTTTGCAGGGGGTGAGGGGACTCGAAGGCACAGCTGGACCTCCAGGACCTCCTGGACCAAGGGTGAGTACTCACTATGAGTGATGCATATTGAAATCTCTTCCTCAGCAGGGGCTTGTGGTTTCTGCTGTCACCCAGAGGTGTCAGAGCAAAACCCTATCTTGGGGAATACCTGGCACGCTGTAGAGATGTCCACTTTCCCTGCCATGGTCAATGTAAGAAGAAAAACCTTGGCTGCTTCTGGCAAGCTCTGGGGAAGCTTTGACCCAGCAAGGAGGTGCTTGGTTTGCTATTTTTGCTTTCCTGGTGCTACCGTTTTTCAACTGTTGGTTGAGTTTGAGTTTTACGGGCTTGTTCGACTGAAATCAGGGGGAGCTGGAGGATGCAGGCAGGCGTGAAAGGTTTCCCCCCCCACCATTTCCCGTATCTGCTGCCAGGGCTATATGGAGATAGGTGTATTTGCACTCTGTTGTGCCCAGGACAGCAGAACCTTAAGATCTTAAGATTGATTTACATCTATCAGCTAATTTGAAGGCACCACAGCCATTCCAAGTTCTGTGAAACAGGTACACTTCACTTTATGTGGGAAACTGAACCAAAATTGGTTTTAGATGATGGGTGGTGGACCTGATAGTTACTGATTCCTACCACTGAATTATAAGTAATTTGGCAGTCCTGAAGAGTGTAAGATGGAGATCGCTCACTGCTGTCTTTGCATTGGACCCCCAGTAGTTGTGGTGAAGTCAGCTATTTATGGGAGCTAAGGTGGAATTCAACTCAAAACTTTGACTTTCTCATCCTGGGAAGATGCGGAGCTGGCAGGGTTGAACCTCAGCTTTCTAAATATGAGGAAAGCACTGTAGCCTTCAGAGCAGACTCGGAAAGCTGTTCTGGTGCTGCCTTGAAGACGTCTTTCATTTTCACTGATCAGAAGAGTTGCTAATCTCTGTTGAGCTTAAACGTAATAGCTGGAAAATTATAAAAGGAAGTATTCCTACTGGTGGTTTTTGGCTTATCTTTTTCTTCCCTTTATGGCTCCAAAGGGCACAGAAACTTCACAAAGAGGAGATGACCAAAGGCGGCACTTCCCATTCTGCAAGCTGCTGTTATTGTTGTAGAGCACTAGAGGCAAACACAGGTCTTAAATGAAAAAGAAAACAACAGCATGGTATGAGGAGGCTGAAGAGAAGGGTTGTGCTCCAGGCTACATCTAAATCTGAATATATAATGAAGGATCTAAAGCCTGGAGGGCAAAAAACACATTGCAGTTTGTTGGCAAAACTCAGCTTTGCTGGCTTGACTGTAATTAAGATAGTAATAGGAAATGATGTGAACATGACTCATACACGATATACTCTTAGCATTGGACTCATGGCTGGATGAGGTACTGACACAAACCTTAAGGCTACAATGCCCTTGCTAGAGTCCTCTAAACTCAAACGGCTGGTGCCCCTGGAGCTGCAGGGAGATGTCAGCCTTGAACAGAGAAAGAAGAAAGTTAGGAAGTAACTGGACTTTTATCTGTGTCTTGTAATTAATGTCTGCAGGGTTTCCAAGGAGTGACAGGCTCCCGAGGCAGCAGTGGAGAGAAGGGACCTCCGGGTGACGTTGGGCCAACAGTAAGTTTCTGCTTTGGGGTCTCAAAGAAGGCCAAGACATGAAATAGTTGAGTGGAAACAAGCTGTTCCCACAGCAGCTCTCCCTCAGAGGCTAAAGAATAGTTTTAATTCACACTCAACCTTCCTAAGGAGATGCAAAGCCCAGGCTACTTAACTGTTAATAAAGCATTTATCAAATCCCACCTCCCTTTGCTCTCTGTAGATTCACAAGCTACACAAAATACAAGATGAAAACAAATTTCTGGTGTAAGATTCCAGAATAAAGGAAGAGAGTCAGCCCTGAGCTGGAGTAGCCAGAGTCGGGCTGGTAAGGGCAACCGCAGGTCTAAATGTCACAGTTATTTCTTCTCAGGTGTTAAAAACCGCCCGCTATGTTGGGAAATCTGTTCTAAGATTGTACCTGAGTCTTCCAGCTGCTGCTTTATTATTCTTTTTCTTAAAAAAGAAACCAAAATATTCCTACGAGCTTAAAGCTCTTCCGGTCACTGGCACGAAGTCAAGGAAATGACGCGAATGTGGGAAACAAACTTTGTGCTCCATGTCCCACATCCCCATTGATTAATTTTGTTTTCTTCTGCTCTTCCTTTCCCTAGACTTTTATTTTTTTCTTTCTTTGTAGGGGCTGCCCGGTCCAAAAGGAGAAAGAGGAGAGAAAGTGAGTTTTTGTGGTCCTAGATGTGGTAACGTGCTTGGCAAGCTATGCTTACGCCTACAAACCTGCTTGGCGTTGAATAACTCCATGTCCCTCTGCCTCGTTGCCTTTCCATTTACCTGCACTGGCTTTGCTGGTGGGACATAAATAACCCTGCAGCATCAGGAGCTCCCTAGTATCAAGGGTTGTCATGACGAAGAAATGCCAACTGAAAATCCGTTCTTTGCTGAAAACCCAAACCCGCTTGACTTTCTGACTTGCTCCCTTTTAATGAATTGCCTAAGAGGGGGCTCATGTGTAGCAATCCTCCCCCAGCACAGAGCATTTGACATCAGGAGCTCTGCGCTGCCTTTGGAGGTTATTTTATTGTGCGAGGAAGTTTTTTTCTTATCCTGACTTTTGTTTAAAAAGAAACCCCGTGTCTTTCTAGGATTCTGAGTCTCCTTGCCAAGACTGTGAATTAGGCTGCAGGCCGGCGTGACCTGCTTTTGACAGACTGCTTTTGTCTCGAGTTAATGCTTCAGTATTAAAAGTTTTAACACCGTTCTCCTTCCATTCCCACCAGCTTTTCCTTTTCTATAGATTTATTATTTATTTTTTTTGCAGTGGAACTTTCCTTTTCCCTCCCTTGGGCGATGTGCCAAGCTTTTAAGTCTGGGTAATCTCCACGGCGATCCAGCTAGAGACGTATATTTTATAAATGTTTTTGGAAGTATGCAGTGGTTTAGGTAGGAATTTTCAGAGACAGAGTCAGCGTTTATTTTTAAGCAGCTTTTTGCATTTTAATCGCTTCTCCCTACCTTACTAAAACTTTCTAAAGCACCCCTCAGCCATGATTTATTCAGAATACAGTAATGGTAAGAATCAATATTCATAAAAGATTTAGGCAAAGATAGGACTTTGTAATATCTGATCATATTAAAAGTTTTACATATCACAGAACAGTGAGTTAGAGACTTAGCATCTTTTCTGATAAAATTTGTGAGTGAAATTTTCTCTCCCTTTTTCGGTAGCTTTGATAATTATTGAGATTCAGCCTGGGCTTTTTGATGTGCAGAAGAAAAGCATTTATTGATGTTTCCCAATTTCAATTTTATGGCCTCAGAGCTTTGTGATAAATAAATAAAGCTGCATTCCACAGTAATTAATACCTCTCAAATTCAAGCTGACAAAAAAGAACGGGCAGAAATCTACCATGCATTATGATATCGATCCTGTTTAAAAGATATTAATACTTCTTTTTTTTTTTTTTTTTTAATTTAAAAAAAAAAATGTTTCACTTTAGGGGGAACCACAGTCCTTGGCCACAATTTACCAGCTCGTTAGCCAGGCTTGTGAGCGGATGATTCAGAGTGAGTATAACCAGTATAACCAGCCCAGCTCCCCAGTGTGGTGGTGCCTCTCCAGCAGCGGTGCACAAAACCAGAGGGAAGGCAACATGAAGCTGTAGTGACCCAGGCAGCTCCTCCATCCTGTGCTGTGCTGAGCACCGTGCACAGCAAATGTCCCATCACAGGCTCTCAGTTGGTTTTATTGGGTGGCATTAGCGCAGAGACCCGTGAAACATTTCTTTGGAAAACCCTTTGGCACTTTGCAAAGATTCCATTGTTTCTTGGATTGAAAAGCTTGAAACTAATTTGAAAGAAATTATTCGTTTGGTGATTTGTGCTGATGCCTCTTGAGACGAGGCATTTTTGGTAAAGCTCCTGTGCTGTGATGCATGAAGAGAGGCAGAGGTTTGCCCAAGGTCAGGCAGCGAAGTCAGCACTCAGCTGCCCATTTTCAGCTTCTGGCTTTCTCAGTTTGGACTGGCAGCCTTTTAGCACTAGTAGATAGTTTTAAGTAGCTTTTTAGACAACATCCTCTGGTTTTGTCTCTCTTCTGAATTTCCCAGCCAATGGAACATTTATTTTCTGTCTTCCCTTCTTAGCTCACGTGTTGAAATTTGACTCATTTATTCATGAACATGCAAGGAAGCCAGTTCCTGTTTGGGAAGAAAGGTTGAAACCAGGAGAACCAGGACCACCAGGCCCTCCGGGTCCCCCTGGAAGCAACGGAGAAAAAGGAGAAAATGGCATCCCTGGACAGCCAGGCAAAGATGGGTATCCTGGAGAAAGAGGTATGGAGAGAAGTGTTCGTAAGCATTTTTGACTGTATCTTTGATACTTTAACTAGGCATTTTAGTGCCTCAAGCAGTACTGTAAAGATAACCCATGATATTATCTATATGATTGCAATATTCCCTTTGGACTTCTCTCTTCTAGGAAGAGTAAGCCAGGTTAGATAGCTCAAAGAGTAGGGAGAAGACAGATGAAGCCCACTCTTTTTGCAAGCTCTGCTTTGAGAGGAAGGCCGGTTTGTAGATTTTGAAGGATGAGCAGTTTGATTTTTAGAGGGCAGGAGGCTTTTCCTACAGAAAGGCAAAATGAGCAGCCATTTGGATGAACACGTGGTGACGGATCGGATCACCTCTGGGCAGAAATGACAAGTCAGGGAAAACACTGAAGACAGGCATGAGGCAACTGAAGTAATACTGAAAGTGGAAATGGGTTTCCGGAGCAGTAACTCCAACAAAAAAAGCCTCACACATGACTAAGGAAACAGATTAATGTAATCGCAGAAAGTGGCATCAGTTATTGCACATGAGCGAGTGAATGGTGGGAATATGTTTTGCTTGGATTTGCAGACGACATTTGTCAGTGGCTCAAGTAATTGGCTGTCAAAATAAAATGAAAAACATTGGTTTCAGCAGTGTCCTAACACCTAAGGAACTGGAAACCTTCTGTTTAACTCCTTACTCTGGCACTGTTCAGTCTTAGCTCGTATCTGCAGAGCTTATCAAAATGTCACTTAAGAGAAAAGGGAAGTAACAACCTGCAGATATTTCCAGCCTGTCAAGCGAAGAGATGGGAGAAGACAGATCCCACTGAAAAACAATCTTAAGGTCACGGCTGATCAAAATATTTTCATCTTAAAAAAACAGAAAAAATGGTATTTTGTCAAAATGCACCTGTTTCACCAAGAGGTACTGGTTTCACAAGCAATTTCATGTGAAAACAGCAAGCCTGGCTTACCAGCACCTGGTCGGTCGAAGAGATGGTTCAGCCTTGTGATTTGTCTAATCCATGTGAAGAGCATGGGAGTGGACCTCACACTCAGGCCAGCGCACTAACACCAGTGCTATGAATTTCTCTGTGAAAAATCTCCATTTTCACCCATATCAGGCTGCAGATCAATGCTGGTTGGAGCCCTGTTGGTCACGGGCAGCTGGCCACTCTGGAAATTCTGCCCAGACAGAATTAAAGGAAAAGATATTTCTTTGCGTTGCCAAGGGCTATGACTCTACTTTGCTTCAACATCTAAGAAAAGCCTGATGAGAGCATTAATTCAGGGTCAAATTCAAAATGCATTGAAGTGACACTTATCTCTTACTTGTGATTAGGTGCCCCAGGGCCCAAGGGGGAAAAAGGGATGCCTGGAGCCAGCGAGGAAGGGATCCAAGGACCCAGAGGCAGAACAGGTAGAGTGAATACAACCTCTTCGTATTGACCCGGTGGGGCCATCCAGAGCTCACCAGATTCAAAGCGTGGTTCAGCCTTAGGGTCAGTGTTGTGGGGCAGACAGACCTTCCCACCGCAGCACTGGTGGCAGCATCCTGGTTGGTTCCTCTCTGCTAAGATGCAAGAGATTGCTCCAGGCAGCCTCCTTCCTCTGGTAGCCATTCCCAGGTAATGATGTATTTTAAGGACCTGAGACATAACCAGGGAGTTTTAGTTTTGCTGCTTTTTTGCATGCAAGACCAGCTGCTCAGGGGATAGAAACTCTGAAAATTCAGCTCGTGAAACACAAGGGGGTTTGAGTAATCTGTTTGGATTTGGTGTTCTCCTCCATCCCGATCCTTGTTACTTGGAATCAGTGGGAGGTCTGCCAGTAACTTAACAAACAAGGCACTGTCGAGAGAGTGTGGTCAGACGTATTCTTCTGTATGCAAATGTTTATAGTTGAGATATAAAGACACAAAACCCAATGACTCTGGGCTGGATCCTAGGGTTAAGGTGATTTTCTGCATTGACATGTAGGTGGACTTTGGATTCTCATACCCAGGCTCCATTTTTAGCCAAGCTGGGCACCCTTAAGGTCAAGAATAAGCTCTGTAGTTACTGGGATTCAGAAGACGTTTGTCCAACTGGCAGATCCTATTTTTCCACCAAGATGAGGAAACAATACTCAGAAAATAAACCACCATGTAGGATGGAGAAAATATAGAAGAGGTGTTACACTGAAGCAGCTAAAGTAAATGTGCTACAACTTACAGTGCTTCTGCTTCTTCAGGCCCACCAGGAGATGTTGTGCTGGGGAAACCAGGACCGAAGGGTTACCCTGGAAATGCTGGTCCTCAAGGTTTTCCTGGTGTCAGAGGGCAGCCTGGGCAGTCTGGATATCCAGGGGGTTGTGATATCTCTGGATGTTATGGGGCAGGTAGAAGAGGTAAGTCCTGACTATCTCAGTGCAAAAGTTATGACTTTAGAACTGGTCTCTCTGGTTACTTCTCCTAAGCTAGGCAGAGACCTCTGTGCATCCTTCAGGCACCGAGTCCTGCAAGAGCCTCCTTTGCAAAGCAATCAGGGTGATTCACGTGCAATTCATATGGGCAAAAGCCAGTTCAGCTGACTGCTCCTCAGCCATCCTGCATAGACTAACACATACCTGCAGCAGGTGGAGTGATCATGGGGGTCTCTTCAGCTCTTAATGTCCCTGGCAGTGTTTCCATGGTGGACAGAGAGGAACAATATCTCAGTTCCTACACATACATTTCTTGGAGGCTCAATTGTACAAAGTCCTGGGAAATGAAGAAAATCTCTGGCACTGAACGAAAGATTTACAAGGGAAAAGAATTCATTCCGCACCATTCCTTCTCCGTACGTGACACTGATTTATTCGCATGCTCAGTGGCCTCATCTCCTTTCTGCACACAGATTTCATCCCCTGACGGCGGGTGCGGAGGCAGCTGAAGGCATTGCTTTACCCTGGAAATCTCTGGGTGAAAGCTTCCCGCACTCCAAGAGGAGCAGCAACCTGAACACGGAATGTGCTATTTGTGGTTTTTTAATGTCCCACCATTTCTATACGGCCGAGTGAATCAAACCCTGAAGTCACCAAACCAGCCTGTGTTCAGATGAGTCACCCGCCTGTTCTTCAGCACCGGACAACTGCAGTGTTCAAACTCACATTGCATGTCCCACAGCAAGACAAAGACACAGTCGGAGGTGCAGGCTGACAGATGTGTAAGGAAAAGAAATAATGTATTGAAATGCTCAGAAATAACAGATAATTTCTGCCCATTTGTCTGCTTGTGGTTTATTTTTGTCACTTGTTATTCTGGGTCCCCAGCACAGAGAAAATCAGCACCTCATGCCCAAAGATGCAAAGCCACTGGAACGAACCTACGTTTTCTGGTGGTTGACAAGGTGACAAGGTCTAGCACCATTTTGGCTGTGTCTGCTTTTGCAAGAGGCTGATGGGGTGTTAGGTACAGTGTGATAACCTCCCTGGGGTGGACAAACCCCACCATTTAACCTTGTTCTCTGGGGCTTGGTAACCGTCAAGCAATGCCTTAGATCAGACAGAGCAGAGCCGTGCACCGAGAGGAGCTGGCGATTACCCTGCTGGCCCTTTCCATCTCTGCCTCCTGCGGTCTGAGTAGCTGCTTTACATTTTATATAGTAGAATATTGAATAGCTCAGAGTCTGCCATTTATCTACATGACTAGACATTAGGCTAGACATTAGGAAAAACTTCTTCACTGAAAGGGTTGTCAGGCTCTGGAATGGGCTGCCCAGGGAGGTGGTTGAGTCCCCATCCCTGGAGGCATTTAAAAGAAGGAGAGATGAGGTGCTTAGGGACAGGGTGTAGTGGTGGGATGGCAGGGTTAGGTTAAAGGTTGGACTCGATGATCTCAAAGGTCTTTTCCAACCAAAATGATTCTATGATTCTATGACGTGGAGGTAATGGTCATGTTACAACCCTTGACTTGCGTGAGCCATAGTCTAAACTGTACCCACCCCAAACCGTACAGGTACTGGTTTTATTGCATCTCAACCATGACTTAAACCTGGATTCTATGACGTGGAGGTAATGGTCATGTTACACCCTTTGACTTGCGTGAGCCATAGTCTAAACCGTACCCACCCCAAACCGTACAGGTACTGGTCTCAATATTGCATCTCAATCATGACTTAAACCTACAGCAACAAAATATTTCTTTTTTTTTTTTTTTTTTTTTTTTTTTTTTTTTGGCAAAAGTGGGATGAAGCAAAAAGCACCAGCACAGATTATTTTTTTTCTCAAAGATTCTAAGAGGCAACAAATGGAGCACCCTGCCTATTCCTGTGCACGTAGCCTGGGTGCGTGGTTTCTGCAGCTACAGGAGGACTGGTAGCTGGGTGTTCATATGGCTATAGCCGACCTTTGAAACTTAACAGCGAATACAGCCATACTTAGAAACTAGATTGTCACATAAATACCAAAGAGAAAGAGGTCTGCCTTAAGAAAATGAGACTGTTTAGACACAGAACCCAGATATTATTTCTTCTTGCCATTATGGAAAAATTCTATAGAATTAAAAGTTTTGCTGAAGGAACATTTGAACGGATCAGAATTTATGGGAGTCATCCTGCGATAAAAGTCACATAAAAATATGATTACTGCATCCTGTAAGTATTTAAAGTAGTCCTTAGCTTAATGTATGCTCATTCTCTAGAAACTCCCAAGAATGGAGGTTTTTGGTATGACATACATTCCCTTTGGAAAATGTAGGGA